GGAATTTCCTATGTGTTAGAATGATAGGCTATGACCAAGAACCTAGTAAGTAGGCTGACAGAGAAGGTAGTTCGTAGTAAAAGTACTAGTGTAATTCTGAGGTATTTTGAGAGAGGGTAAAGGTGGAGAAGCGAGTGGTTTATTTCATGATCTTACTAGTTGGTTTCTTATGTTATGTGGTGGGCGTCGGGTTGACCGATGATGCCTACCAGTACGTGTGGTTGTACTGATACTACCCTTGCTATATCTTTTTACATAGACTGGATGCAGGTTGGTGATGTTCCATTAGGTAAAGACGAAGAAATTCTCCAGCAGCTTCTATCTTTCCTTCCGCATGGTGGGAGCTGTGTCTTTTTATTTATTATGTTCAGTTGTACTCTTAGTAGCTCTTGTACCTTGTTTAGACTGGATTCGTTGGGGGGGGGGGTGTTAGTTACTTTACAAGTTTTAACTCTAAATTGTTTAAAGTTTTATTTATGAAAACTCGATGATTTCATTTATACCTGTTTTTCGTCAATTTTCTTCATGTTTTGCCTTTTGGGATATGAGGGTTCTCCTACTTAGGTGTTAGAGTGGGTGCCCGCATGACCTGGTTGGTTGGGTCGTGACAGAGGCGAGCGAGACCTGGGAGAGAGAGAGAGAGAGGAGAAAGGCGAGTGAGACCTGAGAGAGAGGAGAAAGGCGAGAGAGGTTGAATAATGTTATAATTGTTGTATCAAGTTGTGTCACGAATACAATAGATACAACTGATTTATATCAAAATGAATCTAATTGTATATAAAAAAAACAAATGACTTCAATTACATATTAGAAGGAGAGAGACAAGAGAGATTAAGAGAGGGAGGAGAGATGCAAGTGAGATCGAGAGAGGGAGGGGAGAGGATTAATACATGTTGTATTCGTTGTATCATGAATACAACAGATACAAAATACAACTACAGTTGATACAAAATACAAATATAGTTGTTTGAATACAATTGATAAAAAATACACATCTCTCACCTATATTCGATTGAACACAATTGATACATAATGCATTTGACAGAGAGGATGAGTGCATATTGTATTCGTTGTATCAAGTTTTATCACAAATACAGTTGATATGGTATACAAATACATTTGATACATAATACAAAAATGTAATTGTCATATTATGTGATTTTTTTTGGGTTGCAGTTGTTTGGGATGGAGAGAGAGGGGAGAGGAGAGAGAAAGGAGAGAGAGAATGAGAGAGGGCAGTGGAAGGAGACAGCCAAGGGAGAGAGGAGAGATAAATTTGCTATAAAATCCTACATGTAGCTCCGAATTATAATTATTTTAAATTGTTAGAGGATTATCTTAAATACATATAACATGTTTGCCTTGTTATATAATTTTCTCCTTATTTTTTTTAACTCAACTCAATTTGATCCGCCAAAAATCAATCAGTTCAACCCACCAATTTTATACCTCTAGAATTTACTAAAAACAAAATATTGGGGAGCAAGGAGAGAAGTGGGAACCACATTTGGAATATTAAAAAATATGATGTTTCCAAATTGGTGTTAGTTTACAAGTAAGGCATGCAGCCACAATAGTCATTTGTTTCATGACCAATCACTTTTGTGAAAGTGATGAACAAGTTGATGATTACTTTACTCCATTGCAGGCTGTCATTTTATTAGTTTATGAACACTAGTTTTTGGGTGGTCCATGTCCACTTTACCACATTTTAAAAATCTGTACATACATTGTACTGATTTTGACCAACTTTCAACTGTCCAAATCAGCCTAGGGGAGGATAATGTAAGAGCTAGATAATTGCAAATCTGATCCTAAAGTTAAATGAGTAACGGTTTATTATGTTTTGTTAGGTCATAAAAGTTATATTAATTTTCTTTTGGAATTGTTTTTAAATTTATTTGAAAATCTATGTTTAGTAAAATTATATTTCAAATTTGAAAAATAACTTATAACATGTTATCTAAATCACTTTTCATTTTTGAAGTTGTATACAGTTATATGAACATTATTCTAGAAAGAATATAGTCAAACACAATTCTATCTTCAACTCCAATTCCATAATTTTCAAAAAATATTTGAAACCTATGGCAAACACCTACTTAAAACATCACTAGATTATTGTTATTTTTGTATTATTTTTTTAAGAGCAACTTTCACATATAGCAAACACAAAATTCATATTTGTATGTTATAGCAAAGTTTGCATAATTGTGCTTCATAGCAAACATAAATATGTATATTTCGCTATACATATACAAAAGAAAGCAGTTGTATAATCTGTTTTGGTATACATATACAAAAAGATCAATTGTATAAAGTGAGAGAGGCGAGTGAGCGAGCGAGATCTGAGAGA